CTCCGTAACTGTCGAAACGGTTAAATATAGCCGTCTCTTCAACTCCAATCGCTTCTCGCACTTGCCATGTATGAAACTCCCTTCCTCTTACTTGCTTCCCTTAATTATTCAAATGCAATGTCAATCGACATTTTCAGAGGCCTTGATCAAATTCCCCGTCCTTCTCTTCATCCTTTCCTCTATCGCGCCTCTTTACTCTTGCTCCCACTCTCTGTAACCCCTTGCGTGCTAGTGGCACTACCGCCTTGCTTGGGAGGAAATGCTTACAAAAAAAAAAAGATATTCCGCTGCTATGGCAACACGAAGCATATTTAGTAGTATCTCTTTAGTAATCGAGAAAGTAGGTTTTAGGAGAAATAAATATTATTAGGTTGGTGCGAAAATAATGACGTAATGATGTCGTTTTTTGATGTATTTTTTAACGTCAAAAAACGACATTATTACGTCATTATTTTTGCACCAACCTAATATAATACTACGCTTTGTTTGAAATATATAAGAAAATATATGAATCTTCCCACCAGTAGTGGCTGGTAGTTGTCAGTAAGAATCAAGCCAGAAGTTTCGTTAAACTTCAAATATGTTGGGCAGTATCCTCACAGATCGCAGAAATGTAATCTCAAGTGTTCCAGAAATGCGCAGTTAATCGAACTTCGATTCTAATACCCTTTAACGCAGTTTCCCTACCAGAAATAAATTAAACTAATTACCCATGTATAATACGCCGTCATCCATAATGCGCAGATCTAAAATTGGGTTGAATGTGTGGGAAAATGCTTCTGCTCATGCATAATACGCATCCCTTGTTTGGTAATCCAACCCTATAAATTCTACCTCTCCAATTTCATTACGGCCAGCATTTCTTACTCTTATTTAAAAAAAATCGTTTTAAACATAGAATAATATTATTCTAATTTAGTTTTATGATAATTCTTATTTTATTTTACGGGAATTTAAAAAAAAATTGTAGCTGTTTATAATATGCACTTCTGATTTTGCTTATTATTTTTTAGAAAAAAATGCGTATTATACATGGGGAATTACAGTAAGCTATTTACTAAGGACCATCTGACTCTAGCACTCTCCTCAGTATCTTAAGAGTAGTTTAATAATGGTCCTGTCTGTATTTCTGGTACTTTTTTTTTCAGATTTTCGCTTTTACCTCCTTCAAAATGGTCCCAAAGCTCGCCGACTGTGATGAGTAAAATCTTGTTCTACGTCTTCAGTCTTTAGCAGTATCCATTAACTTTCTTTCTCTGTAATCGACGGAACCAGCAAAACATGTCTTCTTGTCGTTGTTCATGGTAATGAGATCTGAACTTCTTACCTGGATTGAACGATATGTTTGAATTTGAAAACCCCGTAGGATTCTTTTTATTTTTTATTTTTTTTTATAGATCAGCTACTGTTTTAAATACATAGCATTGTGTCAGGACGTTTAAGTCCCAGTAACCTGCACAATTCTCAATGAATCACCTTTCTCACCTCGTCATGACTACATTGATAAATCAACATGACGGCAGCCTAATGAGGAAGAATCACTTCACTTACTTCACACATATTCATGCACTAAGACGCCAGGAATTACCTGAAGTAAAAGAGAATTAGAATAGTTAAACAAGGAGAAAGGACAATAAAAGAACAGGTTTTAGGAAGGCTGATGGTGATTGATGTTTTTTTGTGATTTCTTGCGAATCCTCGTCGCAACTTTTGTGATGTGGGACGGCTTCGCTTGTCATTTTTGCTATGTCAAGCGAAGGCTTGTTATCACTTCCAAAAATGCTCATTATATTCGAGACATCATAGACGCCGCTACTAGTATTAACGCCTTTCAATAATATCCGCACTAGTAATATTTGTTCAAGTAGTAATCGTCAAATAGCATAATGATCAGAAGAGAATCGTAATCCGTATTGAGTAGAGAGAGTGAACGTATAGCAATGGATAATATAGACAAGAAGAGTGAAAAATGAAATATTCACTTACCGCCCCAGGCAGTCGGATGGGGCACAAGGCGATTTTTTGTGGGGATTCCGAGCCCGTAGTCGCGGTCAAAAATTCCCCGTAGACCCCGTAAAAACTGTCTACCAGCCCAGACAAGGCTGTGCCCATCGGCACAACCTTGTCTAGGTTCCTCTCTGCCCGAAAGCAGAGAGTTCGGCAAGCACCCCACCCCCAAGCTTACGGTCAAATCACGCTGAAACACCGGTTCTCGTACGATCACCGAAGTTAAGCAGCGTAGAGCCAGGTCAGTACTTAGATGGGGGACCGCTTGGGAACACCTGGTACTGTAAGCCCCAAAGTCCAACCCTTACCTCACAGTCGGTGGGGGTGTAAACGGTAGTGTCAGAGCTATGCCGCCCTGAACTTCGTTCCTGGTAGGCCACCCAAGGCGGACAGGTCTGACACACACACCGGCTAACAAGGGCTCTGGTGAAAATCCAAGGAGCGTCTGTATCGGTAACCGGCGGCTTCTGGTCGTTCCTGTCTCTGCGTCTGTGGGAACCCCGCGGCAAGCAAGAACGTTATCCGAGTAGGCCTGGGTACCCTACTTCTGTAATTTATCCCAAGAATCTTCTTCTCATAACAGGAAGAAGCCGGCTCAATCCGCCCAGGGTGAATACCGCATCAGTACAGTACAGTACCCCACCCCCGCGAAGTAATTCGGAGAATGAACAGTGAACGTATAGTCATCAAGCTACTTCCTATTTATTCACTTCCTTTGTGATCACGTGATCTACTTAATAGTGGACTCGCCCGTGTTACTCACTAGTTTCAAACCACAGTGTCTGCAACTCTTACACAACATTGTTGCATATATGTTTTTTGAAGATTGTAGGTAGTAAAGAAAGAAGAAACCGGAAAAAAGTTCCACAGGTAAGAAGTACGAGAAAGTAAAATATTAGAATAGAACTTACGGTTAACTCTACCTAATTTGCACAGTATGATGATGAGACATAGTCACCAATTAAATAGTACGCTTAATTTCATGTGTTCGAGGTACCCAGGAGAAGTGTGTGTGTAAAATAAAGAATGGAGTTTTTATTTCTTAATTGACAGATGTTTATTATCTAAATGTTATTTTCAGTGGATACTCGTATTGGAGTACACGATCCATTTATTTATTAAAAAGTCTATTTATTTATTTTCGTCTACCGAACTGAATATTCGTGAAATCTTAGTAGAAAAGAAATTGTGCACTTTCTGGCGGAATTTGCACCTGCTTTCACCTAGGGGAAATCGTCATTAGACCTGACGTGCTTTGACCTCTCAGCTACAGAGTGCGTCGTTGAACAAGCAATGTTAAATAGTGCCTTTAAACATAGATTTTTCTCTGATTTTCAAAACAGACATTTTCTCGGACTCATCAGATCTAACGTCCTTTGACCCGCATATTTTTTTCTCTAATAAGATTTCTCGAATATTCAGGCCGGTAGACGTAAATAAATATAGATCGTCTGAATATTTGCCATAGAAAGAGAGTAAAAAGAGGCTAGCAGCGTTTATGGGAAAAAGGATTGTTTGTGTGTGGGAGATAATTAATCACTCAGAAGGTCACGTAATCGCTTTTGAACTCTGATTTTCCAAGTGTAGCTTAGATGTGCCACAAGGCCGAAAGTAGGGGGCACCCAGTGAGGATCGAACTCACTACTCAGTCGTAATAGTTCTAGCAAGACAAGCCTGCTAAAAATTACACCGCCTCGAGGAGAAGCCATTTCATATTCGAGAGCTGCTGCCAGTTTTTACGTTGTCAGAAATATCGGAATTACTATTAAATATTAAATAGGAGTAAATAGCGTAAATAACTAATTGGGAAATGGTGACATCGGGAAGGTCTTTGATGAAGATAAGAAACGATGTAGGTTGACGGATAGAGATCTGAAGAAGTCCAGCCTTAACGTGAAAGGATCTCGAAGCGTGTCCGTTCAGCAAAACGTCTATTACACGATTTGTTAAGAACGAGTGGATTAAGTTAAATATCCGGCTAGAGATACCATAGTGCTTGAGCATGTGGAGAAACTTTGCCAAAAAGAGAGTAAATAACTAATAGGTCAATAATTCAAGGGATCAGAAGGTTCGCCAGAGTTCTTAAAGACAGGAACTATAGAAACGTATTTTCCACCAACTGGAAAGCAAAAAACAGAATGGTATTTGTTATAGAATTTGGAGAGAATAGGAGCCAGCTCAGTAGTACATTTCCTTAGGACAACTGCGTCAAGATCCCAAACACTGTGTGGGTGAGAAGATAACATGGACGGAGAGGTGAATATCACTCAATAGAAATTCCGTTCTAGGGGAAAATCAGACAAAGTTACCCATGAAGAGTCGACAATGGGGTTGGATGAGAATTTCCGAGCAAAGCCTTCTGCTTTATCGGCAGTAGTAAAGGAAAGGGAATGGATAGTGGCTCGAAATGAAAAGTCTGAGAACTGAGTTCAAATTCCAGTCGAGTTCGTTGCATTTACTCGCAGATACTCTTGGGACAGGTGTGAACTCCCCCTAGCTATGGATTAAATAGTAGCACTTGTACCGACAAAAATCATTGTTATTCCCCAAAATATTATTAATGCAATATTCACTTGCAAAAAGAAAGAATTATTCTTCAAACCTAAAATACATTTCGGCCTTAAATAATCCTCAAATGGTTGATAAACCGTAAAAAAGCAAATCATATATCTATAAATATTTATATGTAGATATGCTGCTATGTATTTAGTATATGGCTTTTGTGCGGATAACTTATGTAGGCATTTAAGAAGAGTGTGCAATTGTACGTATGAATACCAGTGTATGTGAAACTGTGTCTGTGTTTGTGTGTAAGCGAACGTGTCTGGTAACGATTTTAAAGTTATCAGTGCGTGTGTTTTGTCTGAAAGTCTGTGTTAACATGGAAGCGTTCAGAGCGTGTGTTATGAAAACATTAGCAGCTTTCAAGTAGAAGACAATCGTCTGATCGAAGAAGGCTCCATTTTGCTCTATTTGGGAACTATCAGCTGTGA